TATCATCCCAAGGCTCCCAGCGATTCGGTCGTGTGTAAACCTCTCCGATTTGCTCGAATATATACTTCATTTTCTTCCTGCGATCGTTGGACATGAAGCATGTGCCAAAGAGCGACACGAGTAAGAAGGTCGTTGGGGGGGGATAGATCCATCTGGTTGAATCTCGGGTTGAATCTTGAGGGCTTGAGTTGTCAGTTCTTGGAAGGCTTGAGAGGCAGGTTTGTGTTTTGGGACTCACCGATGAAAATTTAGTTTATAATTGGAAATTGATATCAAGTCAGTTTTGAAAACTGATCGAGCTATCAAGTTCCTAAAAAAATAAAAGAAACGAATTTCAAAACGTTTTGAAAACGTTTTGAAAAAAAACTTGAAAAGCTGTTTATAATTACAGCCTAAATATAGGAAAGCGCAACAAGAAAATACCCTATCATTCTAAAAGGTTTGATGAAATTAGGAAGACCAAGCTGCCGTAAAAACAATCTCAAAGAAGCGCTACTTTTTGCTATTTGTATCTTGCATGGATCGTTCAGCTACATACTCATCACCTCATCCTTCGGCCTCAGTCGATAACTTCCGGGGTGTATGTATCCATTCAACTCGCAGTCGCACATCGTCACATTCCAATTGACCCTAGCCAATGAGATTGCTGGAGGTAAAAAAAATTGGTAGATGGTATCTAAGGAGTGTTACCATTTCCCCGAGTTGAAGTTACAGAGCATAGACCTCGAACACTCAATGGGTTACTACCAGCTTTCACCGGGAAAAAACCCCTGTTCACGAATCCCACGATTCATACTTAAATACATGGGCATTCATCAAATTGTTTTCGAGCCACAAGTGCCTTAACCAGGCACGAGATGTTTTCGCTCGCTTTATCTTCATCATTTGCGCCCGGTCTTTCAGTCTTTCAAAACCGGCCTTGCTCTTCAAAATGGGGTGTGGTACTATTTTTGATACTTATCCCGGTGACCATGACAGTGAACATGGACCTGCAGACCCCGCTCTCATGGCCAACGGGTCGATGTCCAGTGCTAAAATGCCAGACAATACATAGAAAGCAAAATCACCCAAAGCTCTACACTCATGCAGCATGCCTCACAAATGTATCTCACAGAGTACCTATCAGTTTTCTTCTCCCCGTCAATGCCAAATGAATTTTGTTAGTTTTTTGCCTGAATGCAAACCAAGTGGCTCAGGGGTTGAGCGCAAGAGCTCCGTTGGGACAATCTTTCAGAAAGGGTCTGAGCTCAATGTTAAGATAAATTTTTCAAAGATTGACTAGGGCTCGCGCCGGTAGTAAGACTGAATTGTAAGGAATGAATGAAGGAGTGAAACTTTGGTGTCTACAAATATGTCTACTGGAATACTGCTAACAGAAGAGCAAGAGGCAAATGGGGTTCTATCTATGTAACACAAATGTGAGGACAGATTCAAAACGTCTCGGATGGACAGCCGGAAACAACGTAGAGTATCTCGTCAAAGTGTCACCTTAACGAAGGGCGCGTCGAATTCATCATCGGAAGCGTGTGGGGATCGCAGTGTGTATTGCCGGCTGCTGATGGATGGCATACGTTCCATTCGCTTGACTTCTATGGCCGACGGTTTGCGAAGGTGAAAGGTAAAGGATACATGTTTGGGCTTTTTGTCTGTCTTGGTGATTACTACTGGGGTGGGGGTGTGATGTGGGATCATACTAGGGGTTCGGCAATCCCCGACGCGCGGACCTGGGACGCGCTTACCGTCCACAGTCAATTGGAAGTTCACAGGGAAGGCCAGACGGTTGTTGGCGCAAATGTTCCACGTTCCGTCCTGGTTTTTGTCCACCTCCACTTCGGTTGTGACCACGTTGTCTCTAAACCTATGCGTGGCTTCTCTGTCCCTGGGGGACCTCCAGGAGTGTACAAATCCCACATTGGGCTCAGGATCAACACACACGCAGAGGCCAATGGCCACGGAGAGCGTGACAAGGTAGGTTAACACGGTACTGGATCTCATCTGGGGTTGAAGTAGAGATCAGCGGGTTGGACAAGAGTGTGGGTCAGGAAATATGAATCGCTCACTTTGAGGTTTCTTAGGGCAGGACTATTGTCGAAAGAATGAATGTAGGCCGCGGAGTGACTGATTGGGGATGGGGATTGAATTGACGAACTGAGGGGAGGCCTTGGCTTTTTATGCTCCGGCGGGCAGCCAGTTATCCCTTAGCATTCGAGATTTCAAGCTAGGCACTTGTCCAAAGGCAATGTGAATGAGACACCGGTGGAATGAGGGCAGATGGACTAGCTGAAAGGCCCGTATCGCAGCCACTTGGGACTTACTAATCCGCCTCTGTATCTGAGGGATACAGGAATAGCTCAGGATCCATGAGATGAAACATACAGGCTACCATGTTTCCACTCTCAACTTGATGATATATACACACGTGTAATACTCGACAGTCCGTGTGATGGAGCAATATAGCTTTCGTGGGTAACACATATGGCATGTAACATTCGATGATTAAGCCGGGACTGGCCGGATGACTCAGACTAGAGGACTAGCTCGTATTAGACGTGCTTTCCGGAATGAAGCTGGGTACTGTGTCAGCATTGAAACCTCGGCGACCAGCGTGGACAGCTAGTGGCTACCACTACTATTATACTATAGACTGAAACAAACCCGTGCGATCACTCCGTAGCAAGCTTGTGGACGGGACCAAACACGAATTGCTTCCATGTGATTGTACCACATACATTCCTCTCCCGTTTCGATTACGAATTTTGCTTGGAAACAAAAACATTGTCCCAATGCTTCGTGATCTTAGCCTATCTTAGCGCCCTCCTTAGCCTTGGATTATAGTCGTGTTTGGGGCTAAGAACACGTACCATTTGGGTCTGAAGACAAAACCAACTTGATACGCTATGAGGAAAACAAAAAAAAATGCGTGGAAGATAACAGCGAGCAGTTCTAACTTACAACGGGTCAAGTATCTTGCGAAGGCAATTTATTAGGAAAAAAAATCTCTGACAAGGAATAAAAAAATGGGAACTGGAGGAGACAGAGCAATGAAGATGAAGGAGACCGTAGCCTTCAATTGTGGGAATGTTTTGGACTTTTGGCAGGAGTCTGCAGACATGGGGAGGTGTGCTAATTGTAGGGTCATCTTAACATGACTTGAAGAAACTGTCCATGCATGCAGGGTCTCAACTTGATCGACCGGCATCGATTTGCTGGTTAGTCTCGGTGCTCACTCCCGTTGAGCTCGGGAGAGGGTGGGATTTATAATATTTTTTAAGAAATTCTCGTCTCAAGTCGATCGCTTTCCTTCGCTCAGAGACTGTCACTTTGATATTTCGCATCGAATATTGGATCTAACATAATCAAAGCAAAAGCGGGTTGATTTTCTTTGTCAGCTATAGTCCAGTTTCCAATCTAGAAACAAAATCCAAGGAGGATGAGAAAGAGCATATGAAGAAAAAGAAACTCAACCGCTTTGATTTGCCTTCGAATTGTTAACAACGGTTCTCCTGGGTTACTCGGATCAACCAATCTACCAAAGATCCTTCGAGCTTCGGAGCGTTGTACGAGTAAAATGTTACGCTCCTTCAGAAGGATAAACCATAGAGCCTGGAGATCCTCAAACGACTTCCTGCGCAATTGAGCTACAGACCAGTGTGAATCTGAAAAAAAGGTAGCCACAGGTAAGAAGATAAGGATCTAAATTAACATTGCAAGCCAATAGAAACATTTAACGTCTTTTGTCTGCTTACATCTGGCATCTGACACCGAGCACTCTTCCATGATTTGGCCACCTCGAAAAAAATCGTACAAGGGGCTGCGAAAGTTCTTCTCGTAATCCCAAAAGTCTTGATTGGCAAGATCGGAAGAAGCAGGCCCACCCTGACTGAGGACTTCAAGTCTCTTTTTCTCATGTTCGAATGCACGGGTTCTCAATTCAGACAAAGCCTTCCTTTGGTCATGAGTGAATAGATGATGTTCTTCTCTACCGTATTCGTGGACGAGTGAGGGTGCACCACGATTGAGTTCTTGAGCCGGAAGCTTCCACATCTGTTTGGGTGGATCCGACGATCTTGCTTGGTCCAGTTGATCGTCCTCTTCCGTCGGCATCTCGAAATCTTTCTTCCGCTTATCAACATATGCCTTGTCTTCCTTCACGATCTTCTCTTCTTGTTTGGCTTTAAGAAACTTCCGTTTGGGGTCCCCGATCCAATCGACTTTGGCATGGACGAACTTGCCGGTCACTCCGTCTCTTCGACGGAGGACGTTCTGAGAAGAATCGTGCTTCCAAGCAAATTCGTCCAAGTTTTTCTGGCTCTTGACCCCCATTAACTTTCGCCGAGAAGAAGCCACATGAGAAGGTTCGTTCGGCGATAATTTGAATGAAGGTACCGATGGGTGAATGGGTGGTTTAGGACGATTGCGTTCGCGCGTTCGTCTACCTAGGGACAGCGAAGTCGAATGAAATTGAGAGCAATTCGGTGCCAATAACATCCGAGGATGCGCATGAGTCCAGCTTGTCGAGCCGCTCCTCAATTTCGTTGGAGCCGACGGAGTCAGGAAAGATCTCCATGATAGGGTCCCGGGCCTCATCGTCAAGCAGTAGAAAGCGATTGTAGAAATCGGAAATCAGACCCGTCGTAGAGCAGCAGCACCTGGACCAAATGTCCCTCGATCGTAAATCAAACAGAGGGTAACTCCGACGGCGTTTTTCGTACTGTAATTTTTTGACATCAAATTGATATGGATTAGCAAGTATGTAGAACCAGGATAGTAGTGACCATACACTCACTTTCGTTATGAAAGTATTGCGCCCGGGGTTGTCCAAATTGACGATGGTTCCTGCTGGCGATGATCGATTATTTTTGGACTATCCGATTTTTTTTGAACCTCAGGCTTTTCAGTACTCTGGACTGTGACAGGTACATGACATGGTGTGGACATGTGATTTATTTGCTGTGGCCCGCTAGGGTTGGTGGCAGCGACATCCACTTGGGCCGGACTGGACTCTTGACCCTCGGTCCCTCGCGAGACTGACTTAACACAAATCCCTCGCTTTGGAGGGCCCTGGTACAGTTGGGAATGGGAGATGCTTCGCATTGGGGTGCTCTGCACCCCCAGTCCCGGGAGGCTTTGTTAAGTCAGTCGCGAGATGGGATACTACTCATGGTCCTCAGACGGCAGGCCCATCCCCTCAGACAGCTGCCCGACGATGGAGGTGCGGGTTCTGGGGATCTTGGGGTCAGCCCTCAGAATGAGTCGTCCTTGCTCACCTCGCAGCGACATCAACGTGTCCGGACTCCGGACGAACATCATTCACCGACTATTGGTTGTACATTCTTGGTGATCACACCCCGGGTTGGAAGTCTCGCCGTCGCTGAAGCGATTATTTATGTTGCTCAGGCAGAGCTGGCCGACGGCAAGACTTCATACTGCAACGACCATGGGTGTTTCTGAGACCTTGATCAAAGTGGTGTATTAGTATCAGGAGACCTCTTGAGTGTAAGACTTGAGTAGCATTAATGTTTCACCGCAACACGTCCTGGCAAAGACCTTCTTTCATCTCTGTAGGCTGGATTGTGCCCTACATGGCTCCAGCTCCAGGGAAAGCGCAATTATAAGTCTCAGACAGCTGGCCCCAATCAAGCACTTGTACGAACACGTGCTGTCTCGGAGTCGCAATAGTATGAACGAGCCAACATAACAAGCCTGGTTAACGGCAATACTTACACATCATGGGCAGCTGTGATGCCCATAAAAGCCAACCTACCTCATTGCTAATTTCCTCCATCCCGAAGAAATACCCTTAGTTTCTTACTGATGTGTTTTGCGAATGATAATGATAATTATCAGAGAGAAAAACGGAAACACACTGAAGTTCGACCAGTGTTTAGTGAGTTCGGGGTAACCCAGTAACTGGGTTACAACACCCCCCCCCCTCACCTAGACACTGGACATACTACATACAATGTGAGACAGTTTATAATCAATGAAAAGGAAAGAAAGGGAAAAAAAAAGTAAGAAATGAAGAAGAAAGAAAAAAAAAATGATAAAGGAAGTATCAGAAAAACAATTTCCATGCAAGAAAAAAGTAAAAAAATAATCCAACAAGACCACGTCCCCCACCCTCAAACTAGGACCCAAGGAGATGGTGCCGTAGGCGCTCAAAAGGCTCCCTAGTCAGAGGTTTTGTCAGGATATCAGCTAGCTGGTCTTGTGTCGGTACCCAGGTCAGGTCCGTCTTTTTCTCAAAAAGAGCTTGGTTAGTAATGTGGAACTCCCGATCAGTATACCTTGCTCTTTTATTGGATGAGTCATCTGTACTGATCTTTACCGCAGACTGATTGTCGCAGTACAAGTTGCCCTGAAAGTCTGTTTTTAATATATCCTTCAGAAGATGTCTCACCCAAAGCACTTGCCGTGTAGCTATTCCTAAGGCCATATACTCCGCTTCACAAGTTGACGCTGCCACCGTAGCCAGTCTCCGTGAGGACCACAGAATTGGGCAACCTAAGAAAGTTACAAAAATCCCATAAGTAGACTTAGCATGTTCTCCACCCCAAGAGGCATCACAGTAACATTTCAGCGGTTTCTCCCCCTTGTTGGGTTTCAAAACTAAAACCTCATCCCTTGAATGCGCCAGGTAATTGATCAGGTGTCGGACTCCTTTCCAATGTGACGGACCTGGGGCTGCTGAAAAACGTGCCAGGAAGTTCACCGCAAAAGCAAGATCTGGCCTGGTACCTACCGCCACGTAACTAAGAGACATGACAATAGACAAGTAAGCGGTGGAAGATTTTGCGTCTCCTTCCTGTTCAGAGTTAATATCCAGATTGGCCGGTAATGGGGTCTTGGCTGTGGTAAAACCATCCCAGTGAGATTCTAAAATTTCAGATACCAGTTTCTTCTGGCTCAAAATGAAAGAATCAGCTGTTCTAGTAATATCAACACCTACAATGGAGTCTAATGATGCACTCCATTTAATCTCGAGCTTCCCTTCCAGTGACCTCTCCAGTTGTTGAAGGATTTCAATTGAGTCGCCAGTCACAATGCCGTCGTCAACATGTATCCAAATCACCCCCAGCTTCTTTGGATCCTGCAGCACATATAGGCTTGTGTCGTAGTGACTTGCCGAGTATCCCAGGCCCAACAGAATTGTCTTCAGGTGAAGCCACCAGCACCGCGCCGCCTGTCGAGTTCCATAAAGTGCCTTCTTTAGTCTCAGTCCTTGTCCTTGTTCCAGCTTGAGACCATCTGGTGGCTTTATCCATATTTCTTCGTCAATGTCAGAGTTGAGGTACGCCGCTACAAAATCAAAAGAATGGACAGGCCACTTGTGTGCCGCTGCCAGTGTGAGTACCAGTCTCATAGACATAAACGTTGCCGTCGGTGCAAACGTCTTCTTGAAATCGACACCCTCTTTTTGAGTAAAACCCTTCGCTACGTATCTGGCCTTGTATCTCGTGATTGATCCATCCGCCGCAGTCTTGATCGCGAAGACCCACCGTCCATCCAGTTCCTGTTTCGGAGTATCTAGCATTTTAATTTCCCACACCTGCTTCCTGTCGAGGTTGCTGAGTTCTTCTTCCACCGCCAGTTTCCACTTATCCCAGTCAGGTGACTTCAACGCCTGTTTGTACGTCTTTGGAATTCCCGCCACATAGAAACCGCAATTGAGTATGATGTCATCAACCAGTTTCTCCTCCTGTTCAAAAGCTATTTCATGAGAGAAGTCTCCTAAAGAAACTAGGTTGCTGGAGGGATGAAATGTCAGTGCAGTTTTAGGTTTGTCAGTCAACTGTTTCATTGTTAGCATTGGAGTACCCGGTATCTCTTCAAAATTAGCCCATGCTGAGGAAACAAGGCTGTCAGTTTGTGGAACCCAGAACATCCAACCTTTACTCTCATCCAAATGGGATACTACATGAGCAGGAAAAGCACGATCGGCCAGCTTATTTCTCTTTTCTGGTGGTTGTAGGACGTAGGCTATACTCCCGAAAATTCTTGCCTTATCGACCTGCGGCTTCTGACCAAACATGGCTTCGTAAGGTGTCCGTTCTCCACTGGTCTTGTTCGGTAGCCTGTTGAGGGTCCACGATGCCCATTCAAAAGCAAAACCCCAAAAGCGTTGCGGAAGTTTGCTGTCCCCCAGTACGGTCCTACCCATCTCAGAAACCGTTCTGTTGAACCGCTCCACTACGCCATTCTGGTAATGATGGTAGGTTAGACTTCTCTCTGCCCGTATCCCTTTGGATGTCAGAAAAGTCGCCAGTTTCGTATTTGCAAACTCTCCACCATTGTCGCTTCGTAAGACTTTCACCGATTTGTTTGTCTGCTTTTCTAACCTGTTGATAGTATCTATGATATGTTTGTTAGCATCAGACTTTACAGGCATAATCTTGACCTCATTATATCCTGAACCTAAATCTTTAATTGTCAGTACATATTTCCCTTTGTGATAAGTTTCAACAGGAAAGGGTCCCATCAGATCGACATTGAGGATTTCAAGTGGTTTTACTGACCGGTTCGACCTTCCAAGAGTAGCTGTCCTGCTTCCTTTGTGGATGGCACATACCGGGCAACGGAGTTGCCCTGAAGGCATCTTATCTGGAAGTCCAAAAGCCGCCTTCTTGTTGATCATCCGCCTGATCACTCTCAAACTGGCATGCCCAAAGATTCGATGCCATAACAACAGTGTAGCTTCATCCTTCGTCAGATCTTCCGGTCGCCAAGTGAAACTGGGAGAAACCTCTAGAGGTGACTGAAAAATGTCCTCAGGATGTAGCTTGGCTGCTAATTCAGTGGGTCTGTTGGTCTCTTGGTATTCAATAATGTTAGTTGTTTCATTGCTTATGGACGTTGAGCAATTAGTCACATTGTTATGAGTAAGAGAAGGTGCATGAGAAGTATATGAAGAAGACATAGAATTTGAGGTATGAAAAGATGGAACAAGAAATGGAGAGGAGATAGTAGCAGGCAGAGCTGAAGGTGTAAGGCCAGATCGAGTAGGCGGGAGAGGTTGGGGAAGGCACCATTTGTTTGCATCACGCCGGAACGGGCAAGAAAACAGAAGTTCCCACTCCGATGAAAATATATCAAAGGAGTCATCTATATGGTTGTATAGGAATTTGGAATCAGCTTTCCGAAGAGCTGCCAGCGATATGAGGGTGGACGATGCTTGCTCACAAAACAGTACTCCTCTAAGAGTTGCGATTCGCCCAATTTGGGTCGGAAAAGAGAGGTCCCCAGCCCCTGTGATAAAGGAACCGCCACCCTTAGTGGCTACGCGGAGGGGAATAGGGTTTGGAAAATGACGAAAGTTACTGAGTGCGTACCTGTTAGCAGTCAGATGATGAGTGGCACCCGTGTCAACAACTGGGTCATCCGGTTCTCCAACAGCGAGATGACTAAAACCCGGCACGAGCCCGTGTTCCAAGTTTTCGTCAAACACCCCAATTTCAATCATCCTCGGGGTTGAATCTTGAAAGTTGGGTTGTTGTTCGGAAGACAATGTCGCTGTTGTGTTGGTGAACTGGTCGGGTTGATGCACATTCCCAGCGGTGTTGGCAGCGTTGGCAGTGGTCTGCGCCGGTGGCCGTTGACTGGGCGGTGGTCCGGTGCGTTGCCTGTTGTCCGGCCGATACAGGTCTGGCCGGCGATTCCACGACTGTCCGCCCGAGTTGGCTGTAGGAGGGGCATAGGGGGAAGATTGTTGCTTGTAACCTTGGCTGGAATATCCCGGTGGTGTCACAATTGGGTACCACACTTGGAAGTTGCCCGGCGCGAGGACTGGTGGATTATTTGGACGGGCTGTTGCTGTCGACGACCACGGACGACGGAACTGCTCGAGCGTGGGTGGCGGTTGCTCAAAATTCCGTCTTCGGGGCATCTTGCACTTGCTGAGGAGGTGGTCGGGTGACCTGCAGTTCCAACACTGAAGTCCACGTATCGCCAATCCTTCAACTGTCGGAGGAAGCGAGGGCCACGCCTCAGGGTGGTAAAATTCCTTTGTGGGATCCGGTACATCGTCCTGTCTTGCTTGATTGGCCTGAGGAATCATCGCCGAAAAGGTGTTTCTCGATGACCCAATATCCAGTTGACGCTTCACGATGTCGACATGCTTCAGAATTTGATCCGGGGTCACCGCCTTCTTCGACAGAGTCCTACTTGAACCACCAAGATCCTGTTCTACCCGACGATCAACTTCCTTCCTCCATTCGGATCCGATCTCTAGAGAACTTTGCAGGACCAATCCGCCAATCGTTTCACGATTAATGTCGAGTCCAAAACTGGCGAAATCGTCCAGGATTTCATAGAGCTTCGACACCGCTTCCGCACTGCTGGTGTAGTCCGACATCTTGAAGTTGACCAAGCGATCCCAGCTAGCAACCTGCTCGGCCCGAGTAACCGTATAGAATCGCGAATTCAGATACTCAAACATCTCTTGGCATGTCGTCCGTCGAAGGATGCTCCTATGCATGCTGCTGTCGATTGTTGCAAGCAAAAGCGATCGCCCAATCTGTTCTTGAACCGGATCCGTGCAGGCCTTAGTGTACCACGTAGGAATACCAAAGATCTCGAGTGCTCGTTCGCGCATCATCAGTTCCCAAATGGCAAAGTTGGAACCGGTGGGTTGAAGTTTGTCCGCGCTAGACATCCGCGAGACCACGTTGGAGACGATCTGTCCTGGTGTCTTCCCTTGATATAGCGATTGAAGGGATGCTTCCGCCAGAAAACAATTCACCTCGTTCGCTGTGTACATCGGAACGTCTCCATCGTCCTCATCAGTCTGTCGGCGGTCATCTGTTTGATGGGGCGCGTGCCTGCTTCTACTCCTTGATCGTTGTTGCCGTGAGTTGGCCCTAGTATTCGCTGTGGTTGAGAAAACGGTAGGAGGCATCCGGTTCTGATCATCGGATCGCCACGGGTTGTTGGATGGAGGTGGTGACTGTGTGTTGCGGATAGGTGACGACATTTCGGGTGGATTGAGAAGGGAAAGAGATGAAAACAAAGGAGAAAAGAAATGATAGAAGATGGGGAAAGAAGATGGGGAAAATGGTTAGGGGAAAAAAAAAAAAGGATTGGCGAGAAAAGGCGAGGAGATGAGGGAAATGGTGAGAATGGATGTCGATATGATAAGAAAAAGAAAAAAAAATCAGACGGGAAAAGCCGGAAGATCTTGGAGCAGGATATTGAGAGGAAAAGAAAAAACTTTATTGCTTCGCTATATTGTCACTCGTACGAACTTCAGCCCCCTTGGTACCAAACAACGGGACGAGGTAGCTAATCTCTAGCTGAAGACCGTACTTGCTATCGTCTAACTCCACAACTCAGTCAATCTGAAAGAAAAAAAAAGGATTCGCCCTACGCTGGGTGAAGCTAATAAAATATAGTTAAATGATGAGATAGAAGTTCGCCCTACGCTGGGTAACAGAATTAATCGCCCTACGCTGGGTCCTGAAAGTGATTTTTTCGAAAGGTTATTGATTGAGACAAGGGCTCATAACCTGATGTGTTTTGCGAATGATAATGATAATTATCAGAGAGAAAAACGGAAACACACTGAAGTTCGACCAGTGTTTAGTGAGTTCGGGGTAACCCAGTAACTGGGTTACAACACTTACTTACCAACAAGTATTCTTGCTCACTACAGCCAATAACACGAGGTAATTTAATTTCGCTCTACTGCTGCTTTTCTTATGTGGCTCCCTCATTGTGTTTTTCAGTGATCAGCTGCTTATCCAATGAGCTTTGATGCATATAAGATGAAATTAATCGCTGATGGCTCTTTTCTTCATTAACTCTACCCAGTTACAAGCCAAAAAAATTGCCTTACATCCATTAAGCCAGCTTCACCGGCTTATTTATCTCCAAAAGTCAGGATGTTAACCCTTCGATCTATGGTCTTAACCACGCTGATTACGAAAGCATGGGCAGCGATGTTTTTGTGTGATATCGAACCGGCTAAAAGTCCGGGCCACATATCGTGGAACTACATGATCCTTGATAGTGAAGCTCCCCAAGGAACTGGTACATTTATATTGAAAAAATCAGACAAAGACGGTGGTGAAATCATCTCGGACAGGCCACAAGGCATCGAGTTCAAGAATCAATTGAAAACCAAACTTTGGGTTTACAATGGCAACAAAGAAGGAAAATATGTGGAATTCCCGCCAAATGGAGTTGCTCAATTAGAATCGATTGATAAAAACCGCCTGTGGGTAGGTACTATTGAAAGGCCCTACATGATGCATATCTCAACCGATAGGTATAACAAAATGGCATCAGCATTACTCAATGCGATAAATGAAGATAGGTTTATTCTTCAGGAACCCCATATTCCAAAACATCAGGAAGCGATGGCTCACCTCAATTTAAAGGAGGGCACTAATGCAAGACCCCACATTGAGCGAAGTTGGGAGTATCCTCCCAAGGAGAATCCCTCAGATGCCCGGCCAATTACTCTAATCAGGGATTGGGACAAGAAACTGCTCAAAGAGGTTCGATACAGTGGTAAATCGTGGTGGATCATCCATCGTGATTTTATTTCGGATTCCGAAAATAGTGGAGGACTTCCATTTCGCATCACTTCTGGTCGCCCACTGTTTTCAAAGAAAAACCCATATCGAGTAGTCAAAAATGTGGGAAAACCGAAACCAATTGCCGTTCATGTAGGAGATTTTTCAAGTCTTCTGCCAAATATAGGCGCAGGCAAAGAGAGTAGCATTTTCTTCAATAAACCCGGCGACTGGGCTGTGATCACTTTCTTCGATCAGGCAGCACCACTACAGCATGATGTGTACAAGCTGCTTACAAGCTGGAATCAAGATCAGGTAGAGGAAGGAATCCCGCTTAGGTGGCGGGAAAGGATCATACATTCTTGTGCCAAGATATTCAAACAAGAAGGATCAGATTATGAATTTCTTAGAAAAGTTAAAGCCAATCGAAGTTTGAAGCGTTGAACTCTATTTTTAATCCATGGAAAGTGAAATTTGACAAGCCCCTTGGATTTTGCTAATGAAGAAATCACATCAAATGAGATTTGTAAAAGAACATCTCCCTTCCTTGTTTTAGGGAAATCTCTACCTTTCAAAATTAGTCCTCTTCTCTATTTCAGTTGATTCATTCATCAAGATCCATAGTACAAGCAATCAAAATTTACATCATAGTTCTTAGATTCCATTCATATAATTTTTATTTCTGCTGCTTTTTTGAACTCAATTCCAAGTAGATCCACAAGGTTTAATAGACTGAGATATCATATGTCCAAAAAGCTTAGTTTATTGATCAATATCAACTCCCCTGTTTTCACAATCCTTTGATCAGAATCTAGTATTGATTACAGAACCAGACAAAAAAAACTAGTCTGTAGATTTAGGATGGATTTCCTCTGAAATAGATTTCTGATATTTCAAGGGTATTTTTAAATTTTCAATCACAATCACAGTTTGCACTCCTTTTTTAAAATATATATGTCACTGACTTCTTTTACAGTTGTCAGTGTGTTTCTTCCTGCTTTATTTCTCACATGACACAATCTGTGACATTTTTCATTTTTTCTGTAGGAGTCAACAGGGCTGGAAAGGATTCCTCTTTCCCCATCCTTTCCAGCTCTGTTACCTCCAGATGAGCCTTTCTTTTTCTCTCTTTCTTCTGTCATCTTTCTCTCTTCTTTGATCATTGAAATGAACTTTATCCTTTCTAACTTTGTTGCCTCAAGTTTTTCTTAGCATACTTTTGTCTTTTTCCACTTCAGGATGCTATCTTTTGATGGTAGATAATTTTCTAATTTTCATAAAAATACAAGTAAATCACAAAGGGATTGTTTCAATCTTGATTTTGTTTTGAATCCAAATGCCACACTTTCACTAATGAAAATTCAAGATTCAGGAATGATTGGAATCATTATGGATGTTTCTTGACAAATATCTGTTGATGGAAAGGTGTTTGTACCTCATACTGACCTTGGATTGGCTACCTTGAATCAAGTCTCACCATCTAAAAAGGGATTATCATGATGCCAATGAGTCAGAGCTGGCCAGTGACCTAAATTCATACTGAAATGACCATGGTTCAGTCTTTTCTGAGACCTTGATTAAAGTTGGGTATTGGTATAATTGGGAAAACCTTTTATTTAAAGACTTGGAGTTGATCTGACCCAAAAACTAATTCAAACATTGTTTCAATCTTTCTATGTTTTTTTTTTGAATACACTTATTTTAATCCATCAAATTTTAAAGATAATCACATTTGTTCTCCTTTTCTTTTTCTTCTTCTCATACTAGCACCAAAAAAACTCAATCGAATATGTCCTAAAAATACCCTCTTTTTCTTTGTTTTTCCTTTTACTTGGATACCCCCCATGTTCTTTTTTGTGTGTAACTGGTGCAGAAACAATATTGATGAAAAGACAAAGCACACTCCAATGGTAAGGCATGCAAGTGATATGCAGCCTACCTCCAGCGAGGAGGGTAAAACATGCTACATGCAAACATTGTTTTGCAGGCTTCGATGTTGTGAATGTACTGGTCTAATAAAAATGCTGCTTTTGTCATTGGGATTAATGATGGAGAAGGAATTGTTACACGAATGATTGAACGAATATCTACCATGAAGGAAACTGTTTAGGGTGTTTACGCAAGGGTTAAAGAAGGAGATCTAGGGACTTTCTTCTTGAATCCATCTACGCTGTCTGGAATGGCTCTGATGTGAATTTGTATTAGAAGATTCAACCAATCCAAAAAATCGTAGAAAAGGGGCCGGACAAAAGAGACTTTGAGCAGGTTGTGGTTGAGGTTGAAGGATCCGGTCTAGGGAGTGATTGGTATCCTGAAATCGGTCCAAGTCGTCTATTTCGTCTTCTCGTGGAACGTTATTTTGGAGAGGATGTAGTTTTAGATAGTTTGAAATGGAAGCCTGCATCCGGAAAAAAACGATTGAGCTCCTACGCAGAAGCAAGCCGAAACAAAAGCCCCTATGAATACTACAGACAAAAAGAAATGAAATGTGGTGATTAGTGTCAGATTTCATGCACCATACAAACCTCAACAGAACAGCGAAAATAACACCTGCGACCTGATTAAGGGGGGGGGGGGGGGACAAGAAGTGGGACTGAAACGACCAAGCTTACCAAAATTTGTGATGTTTTTCCGATAAGTTGGTTTGAAAAGCTTTCCTGAATTCCATGCCCGGATTTGGCGATCGATAGAATCAGAGACGACCAAGAGAGCACGATTGGAAATTCTTGTAAGCTCGGTTTTGTGAGGATGGTAATTCTTGTCAAAGCTGAATGTGGTTCGATGAGTCATTGTTCCGATGGTCATCAAGGTGTTCTGTGTTGATTCGTTTGTTAATTTGATAGTCGAGGTTTCTTGAAGGTTGATATGCTCCAAGCGGAACGGTTCGGTGCCAGCCTTTCACTTTGAGCATTTGGTCTGTGAGCGGTCCAGTAGACGTCCATGGCCACAGGGACGCTTCAAGCCGCGCGCCCACGCGAAATCGACGGACCTCACCCGCTCGACGTAGAACTGATCACAGGCTTTACCGTTAATCTGGAGCTCCAGATTTAGACCACAAGATGGGGTGGTTCCAAAGTTGATTTGGTGACAAAATTTGACTGCCATCAATCTCCCAAAACAAAAAAAAAAATTGGGATTTCTTATAGAACAAAGAAGGAAAGTGGAGGGCTTTCCAATATCGGTCTGATATCCTAAATTTAGCCTTCCTCAAGTGGTGATGAGAACTCAATGTCACTCAATTCTCGTCACCAAGTTGAGTTTAGGATCTAAGATTAGACCTCCCAGCTTGCCCAGAAGTCCTCCAGTCATCCAGCGCCAAAGTCATCTAGTCTTCAAGCATAAAATTTCGTAGGTTATTCTCCATTTATCTATAGTGAGATATTGAAAGAATCCAGTACTTGAACAAATTTTGAGGACAAGGGAGATGGTATTTTGTTTTGAACAATTCGGGCCTGTACACTGATAGCACCCAGCCAATTTTCATTTTGATTATTGATCTTTTTATTTTTCACAAACCAAAACTAATTTTGAGGTTGGGGCACTGAGAATCTGGGCTCTGAACTGTGGGAAATTGGGTTTGCATGGTACTCCATTTCCAACTTGATAATTGGAAATTGACCTCAAAATTGGAGCTGTGGTACAGGCCCTTATATTTTACAAATAGAGGAAGAAATGGATGTAAAGAAGAAGAGTTGAAAAATGATAGAAGATCATATTGGGTTTGATCTGGATTTGACTCCAAAAAGTTAGGGTTGACTGCTTTTTCTATTTGTCTCCCTACTGGTTAACAATGACATATTGTTTTTTTTTTCTTGTTAGGGGGGTTCACAACCAAACTTGAGAGGTGTCTCTAAGGTGTTTATGAGCAAAATTTTACATTTGTTTTTGGGATTTTTCAGATTTGGTGGTTTCTGAACTTCTTGTCCATCCCAAAAAAATTATATTTTTATGATCAGAAAAACCCTAAAAATGGCCTCCAAGTTCAACAATGAAACCCCTTCTTAGGACAGTTCACACCTAGCATCTTAGTTAGCTTGCTCATTGACATCAGCCACCAGCTTTCTGGTATTAAAAAACAGCAGTAGTACTTATGAAAAAAATTTGGCCACACCAGCACTGAACCAGCAGATGGAAACAGAATAATCAAGAAACTTGGGTGGAATATCTCCATATTTTGAGAGAAAATGATAGCAACCAGCAACCAACAAGCAAGATTGATTTTGGACAAGCTATTTATTTTAAAATAAAATTTTACCAAACCAGCAAAACAGATGATTGACAAAGTGGCTACAAAGCTGGATGTGAACTGTCCTATTGGAGAGCAGGAAAAGGATGCAGAAAGCAATTAGTTGTCCTTAAAACTTTTTTGATTTCTCAATAGCTTCCAAATTCACAGTCAAAAATCAATGGCTATGATGATTTTCAGCCTTTACCTTGGAGTCTATAAAAGATATTCAAAATACACATTCTATGATCAGTTGTTGATATTCTTCTTCTCCTAACCATGGCCATTGATTCATATTTTAGAATCCAAAATTTCTTTTTTGTCCTTCACCAGAAAAAAACAATGAACACTTGATAGCAAGTGAAATCAGTTAACTCCAGTGCACTATCCATCACATATCCAGCTCAAGTCTGCCTTGGTCCCCTTTAGCACACAAAGGGGTCATTGTAGTTGCCCGTGTCACAACTGAACAGAGCTGGAGCTAAATGGGAGCAGAAATCAATGTTACATGATGTCACCTGACATCTAGTGAGTCTAGAATTTTTCTGGTGCAACACTGCAACAAATACAATACACAGTTTGTATCATGAGGAGTTGTACCAACATATATGGCAAAGAGCCAGATTAAATGAATAAGACTCTCAATAGAACCATAGTGGCCATGAAAAAAATTATATCAAGCCCATGATACATGAAAAAATACATGCAAATACATTGCAAATACCGTATTTGTTGCAGCATTGGCTGGTGCTTGTTGCAATTTGTTTATGCTAATTTTTCTCTCATTGCTGCTTGGACTGATTTCTAATGAACTGAGGTTTACCAAACTGATGTGTTAGAGTACAACCACGTGAGCTAACAATGAGAGAGACACAAGCAAACCTGAGGTTTACCAAACCAATGTGTTAGAGCACGGCCAGGTGAGCTAACAATGAGAGAGACACAAGTAATGCTGCAACAAATATGGTATTTGCAATGTATTAGCATGTATTGTTTCATGTATCATAGTAATTTTTTTGTTTCTATTGAGAGTGTTATTCATTTAATCTGGCTCTTTGCCATATATTTTGGTAATATTCCTTTGTATTTGTTGCAGCGTTGACACAAGCAAACCTGTGACAAGTGAGTCAAGCAAGTATGAGCAAGATGAACGAGGCACAGTGAGAAAAGACTAGAAAAATCTGATCATTTTATTTCTAACCTGAGGTTTACCAAACCAATGCGTTAGAGCACAACCACATGAGCTAACAGCAAGAGAGACATAACTTCACAAGCAAACCTAGAAAAGGAGAACATGATGAGGAAAGAGAAACCAAAGAGAAGATGAAAAACAAGAACAGACCTGTGAAGAGTGAGTCAAGCAAGTATGAGCAAGATGAACAAGGCACAGTGAGAAAATACTAGAAAAATCTGATGAGAAAAAGGAAACAACATTTTAGAAAAAGAAATGCCCTTTTTATACACGTCCACCAGATGATCTAGGTTTCAAACATTTTCTATCTCACTTGACCACATTTCCCACTTTGCTGCAGCGGGATGAGAATGAATCCCCAGACCCTCTGTTCAACAATTTCTTGGGTTGCTTCATATAGTTCACAATGTGATCATTCTGCTTCATATTTTATTCATTTCTTTTTTGCTTCAGGGTGAAACTCCCATTGATTGGGATTTGGAACCCTTGAGGTCATATTGTGTAACCAAGCTTCTATTTTTTTTATTTACCATTTTGCGTGTGCTATCATGGTTTCATTTGTGATTATCCTCAGAACATGCCATGCAACTGAATATATGCTTCTTCCATTCTGGTTTGTAGAAACACTGGACATTTCTGTCTTGAAGGCAATCATCCAGTGAGGTGGCCTAAGCTGATGACTAGTTCTATTTTTCCTTGTGACAATGAAAGTCCAGTGTTGCCTGTTGAAGGTCCCCCCACCTGCAATCAGCAAAAAAGGAAACACCTGTGCATCAAACTTTGGGTTGGACTTCTCTGGGGTTCATGTGTGTATTGGTTGAACTCAGCAGTAATATGCTGCCACTCCAGTAATTCTTGTGACACAGATCAGGTTGGTTGAGATGAACCCAACTGTCTGCAAGTTGTTTGCTGTCTTCAAGTTCAGGGAGCCAATTTGGAGCTCTCCTAGCCGCAGTATTAGTAGCCTCTTTTTCAAGAGTTGGGTGATTCATGGGGTATCAGGTGGGCGTTGGACTGCATTCCTTCTTTTCGCCTCTGCATAACGGTTCGGATAAATGCGGAGTTGGAATGGTTGGGTAGCGTCTCTTCAGCCTCGGCGTGTTTCGTCGTTCGAATGCAAATAGCCCGAGAGCTAGCCGTTATAGTTGCCTCCAGCAGACCAGGAAACATCAGCTTTGGGAAGATATAGATAGTCCGACCCGATGTGGATGAGAATTGCGACTATATGCTGCCAATTCAGCCGCCGACGCGGTTGTTGTCGGGATTTCCGGAACGATAGACTCAAGAATCAAGCGCAGACTCGCAGTAATGTCCTCGTATCATTCATATTAGCCGTACTGTGACTGACCTGGGATTGAAGAACCTTGTTTTCCTTTCTATCAGTTCAGTCACCAGTGTTGGCATTGCAATGGTCCAACTTCCTCCGGGTTGTTCATGCCATTCAAAATCCGAAAAAGAAGATACATATAACATGTACACGATCGGCATGTGGGGCTCAAAATAAGATTCAAGTACTGAGTTTTTGGCGCCAAGGCTCCAAGCGTCTCCATCAACTCCATTCCTCCATTAAATTCACAACGTTCGGATAATGTGGGCCTGACCCGACCTCGTACCAGCGAAGAGATGATTACCATTTGGATCTCCCATTGTATCTTTCCGAATTTTCTCACTGGTTCAAAGTGTCCTTGATTGATTTTGAACGATCTATTCTAGCGCAAATAAATAGCGTGACAAGCATGTTTAAATAGGTTGTCGATCAACTAACTCCATCCTCCAGAGGTGTCAACTCCAACCAATTATCAGCCCATCCAGCTTGAACATATGCCAATTCAGTTTGAAGCCCCCTGAAAGACAATCGTGTCGTTCCATCGTGACTTGCAATACTCCACATTAATTACCTCTCGCAACCTCACGCTTAATATTTATCGAGCACCGAATCTCAAGACATAACACAGTTAAGAACAAGAAAACAGACTCCTCTTTGAAGAACCAAGACGGCATACAGAGTTTAGGACGAACCCTGCGGAAATTCATTTGCATCATCATCATCCAATCCGCCGATTCAGTTCCTCCCCTCGAGAGCTGCGACAATCCATTGTCGTCACAAGGTATTCCGGAAGAAACATCCACATCAAGATCAGACGCAAACGTAGATTTTCAATCATTTGGAGGAGGACTTCGCCGTCTCCGCCTGCTTTGTCGAACAAGTTGATAAGTTCCGGGTCAGCATAATAGAAGACGGACCGTCAGTCTCCCTGTGCATCTTGTCGGATCTTCATACTTACAAACCTTGGAAGGAAAAAAAAAGTGTAACAGAATGACGGATTTATGCTTGAAGCCTTCAAATTCAATCATCGATTCTATTTCAACTTTCGGTCAAAAGAAAATCGTCAGTTCATTACATACTCCAGTTCTTCTTTCCCTTCTCGCCTGTTTTCAAAAGATTGCTATCACAAAAAACAAAAAAGATAAAAAAACTAGGGCTCAATTGATAAGAATTTGGCACAGATCAGTAGGAAGACGTTGGTTTTGGGAGATGAATCAATTGGAAAAACCTCATTGTAAGTTCTCTCCAGTGGTTTCCCCCTAACTTTCCACTGCGCACAGAATAGTGCAATTCTCTCGCATAGCCAAGGGGGCATTTTGAATGAAAAGAGACTCATTTTGATATGTTTTGTATTTTTGCTGAATCTTCGGACCTTTTGTGCTTGCTGAGACAGACTGCACGTTTATGCAAGGGATCATTTCCCACAGGTTTTTGAGCCTACTGTCGTCGAGAATCATACAATAGATGTTTTGGTGTTTGTCTCTATTTTTCTCATGTTTATTCCTTCGAACTTCAATGCTCCATTCAGAATTCTTGACCCATTCAGAATTCTTGACCCATCTTACAAAGGCTGTACCTTTTCTTTACCTAGGGGCGATCAAGTTGTTGAGCTATCTCTATGGGACAATGTTGGTCAGTTGAATTCCCTCCATCTTTCTCTCTCTCTTCAATTTTTCTTTTTCTTCTTTTTCTGCTTATGTTTTCCTGATCACAATATTTTCATCATGCAAAAAATTGGGAATGTTTTTGCCAACATTTACCTTCAAATTCAGATTTGTCAGGACAAGATGAAATTGGAAAAGCGGGACCTTCATCTTATGCCAACGTACATGTGATCTTGTTATGCTTCTCGTGAGTCTTCAAATATTGTTGCACTCTCTCCTTGATATCTTCCATTTGCTCGTTTGGAGAGTTTTTTCTTAATCATCGTCTCGTTCATTTTACCTTGGAGAAACAAAAGCGTAGACAAACCGAATTCGCTCACAAGTACAGAAAATAAGGTGCGGCAAGTCTTTCCGCACACATATCTTTTGTTAATCAGTCTTTTTCTTGTGACGCATTCAAAACCATATTCGCGCCAAATTAACTCTGCTAAGTAGTCTTTGCAATCTAACCGGTTTCCCCTATTTTTTCTGGTTTCAAAATAAAAGTGGCTAGATCAAATAATTGAGCGATGCCCTGGTGTTAAGATATGCTTGGCTGGTAAGTTCGTAATCTTCGTTTGCCCGCTTTTCCTCCGCATCAAAAAAACGTAAAAAACACTACTGACGAAGGCTTTTCTGTTGATGGCGTTTTTCTCTGAAGCATTAAAATGTGATCTACGAGATGACCCCGAAACACGAGCTCATTTGGCAAAACAAAATCAAAGGCCCGTCGATTACGAAGAAGTAAGTGCCACGGCATCTGCTTATCATCAACCTACTTGGCATATCAAACAAGACAAATTAAAGCAAGGATGCCAATCTGTTTATCTCTTCTCCTCGTTAGGGTCTCGCAACCGCAAGGAGGATCAGAGCCTCTCGATACCTAGAATGCTCCGCCAGACAGAACCGCGGAGTCTCCGAAGCCTTTCTGGAAGTTGCTAAAGTTTCCATTAGCACGAAGTCCACTTCAGTTTACAATCTGATCAGACCCGGCTATCGGTATTTCAAGAGGGACAGAAGTTCGTCTCGTTCTTGTCTGATTACTTGAAGCAGCTCTGGCTTTGTATCTCACCTGTGCATGAAAGTACATCGTTCCATGAAAAATATTTTTTTTTAAAAAAACTTGCTTATTTTGTTCATCAATTGTCATCAAGCATCCGTTTTAATTCAAGTGCGTTATTTTTCTTCGAATTCTGAATCACTCTGTCAGATCCAAGAACGGACAAGTACATTCAAATATAATACGTGCAGTGTATTTATTGTGGACCTCCCTTATTGTTGAAAAAAATCATGCTCCCTGTTCTAGCTCTAATTGTATGTGTTACAAACGCGGGCATGTACGTTTTTTGGTGAGACTAAAACCAATTTGTAGCACTATCACTCTGACTCCTTTGAAATTATCAGCTTTATCATCTTTGTTTGCATGCCATCACAAGAGCGTTTATCCCAATTCTCATACTATCCTGGCCATGAATAATTTGAGGCATTGTCAGACTGGAAATTGATCCAATAAATCTTGAAGTGGTCAAAAATTGATACTTCTTGAAGTGTGCCTCCTATTGCCTTAGACAAGAGTGGACTATTCTTGGAATTTCTCATTGACCCTTGATTGGTTTTATCAAAACTATATTGTGTTATTATGACATTGCTCTGGAGAACCAAGTTGTTCAAAGTTTGATGTGGATTTATCTGCATAACAGCATGAACTGGGATTTTGACTGGGAGCTGTCAATGCCATTTTTTGGCATGCTAACATCTCCTAGTCCAAATCTGATTCATCACATGAGTCAAAGAAATAAAGCATCAGCAATTTTGAAAACTTCGGCTGGTGTTATTTTAGACAATTTTTTCATAGTGGCAATGCATTTTGGAAGACCTCTGATGTAGGGCATGAGCTCATAAGTGTTGAGAATCTTGGTGTATAATGTTCTTCAAATGAGGAGAACAGCAAGCCTTTTTTCTCATATCAGCTTCAGTGGGTTTTTGAGGCTGATAGTGGATGACTTCCCCTCAATACCTGGGGAATCTGCGCAAACTTCCTTGTGGCTTCTACCTTTTTTACTGATTCGAAATGTACTGTTACGATCGCAGAAGTTTGTATTGTTAGACGTGCATAATTCAAAATTCACCTGGGGATTTGGGAGGAAGTTGGCCAGCGTTGGCCCTGAAACCGGGGTCCAGAGGTCCATAGTCATTGTCATTGTCACCGGGACAACCACCAACAACCCCCATGTCTCGAAAGCTGAAAGACCAGTTGGAAACGATGATGATTCAGCGAACGAAATCTCTGGCCTTGTCCGGCACGTAGCTAAGGCAGTTATGGCTCAGCAGTCAAAGAATCTACATGTAGAATTTGAGATCAGGGGTTTTGTCGGTAACCCAGCATCGACGCTCAAGGCTTATCCACAGTAATTCCAACTTGATGAAGCGGTAGCGCTTCTTAGATACTGTGGACTAATTCTTCAACGACGGCAATTTCAACAGTTGGATTTGATTGAAACATGACGAGGTGTGAGTTGAGCAAATGCACCCCGGAAGTTACCGACTGAGGCCGAGAAATGAAGTGTTGCGGACTGAACACTCGAAAGCTTTAGCACAAATAGAAAAAGCTTCCTTCCTTTGAGATTGTTTGCGTGGCTTGATCTTCGAAATTCTATAACACCTTCAAAATGTCAGGATATCTCCTTGTAGCGCTCGCCTGTATTTATGCTCCCATCCTTCTGGCAAGTGATGGCCCAGGACCAGAAATCCTTGCATTTTCCAGCTTTGCAGTCCAACAAGATCATGATCACTGGGCTAATAGTACCAACTTGATTTGCGAGTCAAGTGATTCTCCCTTCTTACCTCCCTCATCAGAAGATTTGATATACAAGTTTGATCAAGTTGACTTAAAATCAACGCCACAACCATTCCGAGATGGGTTCTTCAAATCGACCTGTTTTGTGAATCCGATTGACAATGACCCAGCCGATTTCTGTATCTTTGTCAACCCGACCGTCAACCGTGGACAAGGAATTGTAATTCTCGCTCCTGAAAAAGAATTCGAACAAAGCCTAGCAGAGGGCCTTGAGCTTTCGGATGATTTGCCGGATCTGGATACCATAGAAGTGGTCGACATGCCTGAAAAAGGCGGCAAAGGAGCAGTGGCTGCCCGCAACATTCAAGTCGGAGAAGATGTTGCTCTGATGCGCCCAGTTGCTCTCGTTCCTCTTGGCCATGCGGTTTGGTCGACTAGCTTTGGTCAAAGCGTTCGCCGGCAAACCATCGACCATTTACCACTTCGCACAAGAGCCGAAGTTGCTCGTCTGCACGGCGAAGGCAAAAATGAAGACCAGTTTATCTCAAATTTGATTGATGTCAATACGTTCAACAGCGAAATTTCAAAGTTCAATCCTCTTGGGGCCGTCATGGTGGACGCTTCGTGAGTTCATCCCTTTCTAACAAGACTTTTTGCGCCAGAAAGAATAATCAACCCTTCAAAAATGCGTAGTCGATTGAACCATGCCTGCCGACCTAACGTGGTTTACACCTTGGATTCCCGTACACAGACTTTAAGAATGAGGGCTTTCAAGCCGATTGCCAAGGGCGAGGAGCTAACCATAAGCTGTAAGAAAGTTGTTGGCATCAAAGTTATTGTCGACATTGTAGTGACGCAAATCTACAGATCGCTCCTTAGAAATGACCGGAAAAACTCGGCGAGAAAGCTTGAAGGATGACTATGGGTTTGATTGCACTTGCTCACATTGCCAAATGAGCTCCGACCTTCAAGAGAAGTCAGATGAACGGGTTTTGCGGATATTGGAGCTTAGATACAAAGCCTACTCGCACTCCGATGATGACCGCTTTTCGGCTGAAGAGGTTCAGGAATTCCTTAGCCTTTGCGAAACGGTATGCACTTATCTCAACGTCGACTTCGAGATTCTTCCGCACCCGTCGTGCTAACGTTTGTGTACCTCCCCACATCGAACAGGAAAATATTCCTTCCTGCTTGGTAACCGCTAATTTGCTTGCTGCAGGATTTTACAACTCGGAAGGCCAGTACCAGAAAGTGAAAGAGCATGCTGAAGCGGCGGGGAAGATTGGTATCCTGACTTGGGGTTCAAGTTGGAAAGGTCTTGAACAGGTGGAGCTACTACTCCATGCGCCTGAAAAGCACAAGTCACATTATAACAGAAGATGAAATCTTTTTGATTAGAACGAAGGTATCACTTTTTATGAAAGGTGGGTATACATTTCATTCAAGTGCTTTAAAATGGATTTTATTAAGTAGTCGGTATCATTCACCATCAGTTGTTTCTTGCCTTCAATCTCAGTGTTCAATTATCCCAACAAAACCAAAGCAAGGTACCAAAAGCATTAAACTTGCATATTCCAATTTACATCGCTTTCAAAAGAGGCTGAACAAGTAACAAAAAAACAGATCTATTGAGCTTGATAGACCCACAACTTCTTCCAGCTCACATCTGAAATAATGCTAAGATACTAATTTACTTGCAGCGGATTGCAATACACATATGAGATTGTAAATCTCACGTGTTTGTAGAGATACACAACGATATAAACGGATTACATATGATGATGATGAAACAAATTAGAAATTGTGAGTGGGGTGGCAAGAAGTTGGGAATGGCTTGAAAAAATCAAATTCGTTAAGCTGGTTGCAATGAAAGCTGCTCCCGTCGAGAGCGTTGTCAAAACGATTCATAAGTGCCGAATTAAGATTGCTGGTCGAACTTGGATCAGAAATGTAAATCTCAGACTTAGGGGAGGTGAATCCAAGTGAATACGTGGGTTCGTTGCCGTAGCTCAAGTTCGAAAGTGAATTAATTAGGCCTAGGGGTCGACTCGTCGACACCTTTGAGGAATTTGTGGGTCTGGGACGCTTGTGGCACTTGAAGCTATTCATAATGTCGCGGTTGTCGCGTCAATGGTTCCATCAGCACTAGTTATCCAGCCGTTTCAAGAAATTTGAAATGAATGATCGTGAAAGAAAAAAGGCCCACTATAACGCGCATGCATTACACAACAGGCTTCCATCTGGCGCCTTACGCCACATAGGAGTAGCTGTTGCATCACAATTGGTGCATTGGATTCTCGGGCCTTTGTGGCCAGTTTCACTGTGGGTGGCCGAGGTTGAACTTCCCAAGTGCTTGTTGTATTTACTCAGGGTAGCAGGCCTGTGCTTTTTGTGTACTTTGTAAAAGACTCCACAACTGATCCATAAAATTGGAATCAGGTATAAAATTCCCAAATTAACGGTTCCATCGGTGGAATTGACTTACGCATTACAAAGAAGTTCATCATTTGGTCCTCTTCGCCAAAGTGGGGTTTGCGTTCCCCTGCAATTGAAGCAAATCGGTTCCTCCGAGACACTGTTGCCGAAAGAACGTTTCGGGAGATCGGAGACGCCGACAAACGTAGGAAGTCGTGTGGCCATTGGATTACGACGCTTTCTCTTCTCTCCCACTTTTGAAGTCTTGGAATTAGTCGAAATATCTGGTTCAGTTGATTTGCCGATATAATCTTTGCCTCGTTCTTGTAGGAATTCCGCACTTGTCACGATTGAATTTCCAGCGCTATCTTTTTTTGGAAAGGAAAGCAGAAACGGCAACAAGACAATCAAGCTAGTATTCGGGTTCCCATACTGGAGGGCTATCGAAGAAAATCCGCACTAACCTATGGCTGGTGCTATTTTATCTGATTCTCGAATGAATTGTGGATTTTCTGATGTGTTCTGATTATCCAAAACCGGACTTTCGCCAGCGACTGGCAAACCAGGCGGATCAGTTGGAACTTCCAGGCTGTCGAAAAAATTAAATTGTTCCGAAGGAGGGGAGTCCGTGTTTGGCGGGCTTGCAGGATTGGTAGTACGTATCTTTGTCGTATGCTGAACGGAGTCGATCACCGCGCTGGGTTGTGTTTTGTCTGTGTTTGAGAAGACACAAGCTTCATTCGTTTGTTCGTTAAACGGCAGACGATCCCCAGAATCCCAAACAGCCGTGGAATCCGCCATCCTCTTGGTTTGGGTACTCTCAGCAAGACAACAAGTCTCCTGTGAAAGATAATCCACAGTACCAAAAAGAGCCAAAGGCGAGAAGCTTGATAGGAATGACTCGAAATTGATAGAGCCGGCCTTAAAGTCAAAGTCCCAAGCATCTGAGTGAGAGAAATTGATGTGGGTAGAGGATGTGATAGTAGTGCAGTTTACCAGTCCACCAGTTCCCATTTCTGCCATAGGACTAGATAGACTGCATAATAAAGTCGGGTGATGTATCGTTGCAGATACACTAGCCATTGGTTGATTGGCACATCGGCCTCTCTTCAAAGGCGGAGCTTGAAGCTGACTTAAACGTAGGTGTCTTTCTCGGTCAAGCTGTGAAAAGTCCTATAAGTCGCATCGCAAAGTCACTATTTACAAATGAGTTTTACGTGTCAAACCCACCTTTTTTCCTGTCTCCTTGCTTAATCTCTGCACCAAAGAGGTCATAACTAAGTATAAAGTCATTCAGGCACTCTTTGGCCGGATTAAAACTTCCGATTTTCAGTGAGATACTTACTTCAAATGTTTGCGTCTTGTTGTTGGGGCTTTCACCAGTCATCATCGAGTGAAGGTGAAATAGTCTCCACGAAAGGTTTTCTAATCGTTTCCCTTGCTCTAGATGGCCAGCCACCTGTGGTAAGCAATATGTCAGTTTGTCATCTTACTCTCTATATGAAAGTGGCTATTGCTTTAAACAACTAAAGAGATGCGAGAGTCTCAAAAGCATACCTTGCTGCATAATTTCCAGGTTTGACTAAGCGATTCGGCATCTGTAACTTGAGAAAAAAGCTTTCAAAATCGCAAGGATACTGTTAGTAGCCAATCTACAAGTAAAAGATAAATATATATCCGACTCACGGAGAATGATGCGTCCCCCTGTATGAACCGGAGAATCAAGACCAGACAAGAATCAATCAACAGCGATATTGTTGCATCATGAAACTTCACACCTTAATCTGCAAGAGAAAAGCATTCATATTTTCTGCTTGGTTGTCATTCATCATGGAGATCTGTTCATGCGAACGAATTACTGGATTGGGCTCATCGATGGGCTAGTCGAAGTCTAGGAAGCTCTTTAATGTAGGTATGTATCACTAATAAATCAACGCCTGAGGCAAATGGAAGGGGTACTCAGAATCAGAAGTTGGAACTTGGAGCGGACGCCGTCGGAAATATGTAAACTAGGAGTATAATTATCCCGAGCTATGTTTGATTTGACTTCCTTTGAAAGATTTGAATGTACCATATGTATTTGTATCACAATCAGAAAACCCGCCGCTGTCGATCAGTGACTTGTAACAAAGTCCAACAAAGTACTGCCATTTAGGAATACATATCACCTGTCTTTCTCCGCAGCACATCAGTAATATTACTGCCAAGCAATCAATCGATTGCTCGCTTGTACAACTGAATGTTTATATGCGTAGCTGTAACAGCCAAGCTTGATCGATTGAACAACGACTTTGTGATGTAGACTTTGTTTTTTCCGAGGGCCAAATCATTGAGCATGAAACAGATCGCGCATCAAACAAGCAATGCCAATTGCCTTATGGCGATGTGCATATTTGCTACCCTGCTCTTCAGTTCAACCGCCCTTTGGCCCTCCCATGATGACGCTGATCTTGAAAAATTGTGTATACAGTCAATTTCAAAATGCTCAGCTTTTTGTATTGGATTTTCCACTCAGTCTTCAGAAGTGCATATTTTGCATCTCGTGCAGATCCTTGTAAAGCCGGGTTTGGGACAGGATCTACAAGCTGCCCCAAAGCACACCCTGTGGCTACAGGATGACACTCAGACCCCAGGTGTTTTTTTCCTGATATAATAATCTGGCAGTGGTTTCTAAAAAGGTACAACTCATCAGGCTGATTGACATTAACACTAATGATAGCAATTTAGAAATGACTTAAAAATCCTTCTCTTTCAAATGGAGTTGGATTTAGAATCACCTTGAGAAGATGCCATGTGGGCATGAAGTGAAATCACTGAGGAAATTTAGTCAATTTTTGTGGTTGAAAGGGTGGAAATAAAGGTTTTCACTATTTTTTCTCAAGTTCTCCACTATTTTTTTTCAATATTTCACATGCTTTGGGGAATACGCCAAAACCTCAACTGTTGCACAGAAACAGTGGCATTTTTTTCAAAAATTGGCAAAGGGATTTCCACTGTATTTTGCTGTGTTGCAACATGTTTAGTGTCAAATGTCAAAAAGCTACTGAATAGAGCTGCATACATTCAATCCCTTCTATTTTCCTTGGGGGAACAAAAAAGGTTACTATTTGAAACCTTATCCTATGGCTTATCTCATCCACACAATCTTTTGTCATTAGAGCAACCTCAGTTTGAGCTGTAAACTGAGGCTGTAACCACACTTTACAGCCACATACTCATAACTTGTCCCCCTCCCAGGATGCCAACTGGGTGGTTGAAAAAATCATTGGGGCTGAAGACCTTGCTCCCCTCTCAAGCCCATCTACCAACTGTCAAGACACACCAATTGTGTGAATTCCAATACCTCCACCTCTTTCAACAACTACTCCAAATCCACAGAAACAAAACCTCCACAAACTTGATCATGAATCAAGATTGATCTTCTTTCATTCTTTGTTAATGATTTGTTTATGCAATATTAATCATTCTGATTCTTGAACTTTCAGATTGTCACTGATTATCAGAAAATTTGAACATTTATGTGAAAGGATTATTTCACTAATATTGGTAAGTAACATGAATAATATTGAATTTGTAATCTTTCAAGACAATTCATCTTAGCCTGATACTTATAATTTCTCACAGATCAGAAAATCTTCTATGATCAAAAATAATTAATATTTAATTTAACCAAAACAAAAATACCAAAGTGAAGTAAGATTTGTACCTTTTTATATCTTTTTAACTAATCCATAAATCTTTTTACCTCTATGAATTATTTAAAAGAATTGAAATCATCCTGTATCAAGTACTTCTTTTGTTGAATTTTAGAGCTGAGGTGCGGAGAAGTTTTAGGGCCAAAAAAAAGGGGGATCTTATTTTTGGGAATGGCTCATTGAAAAATGAGAGTAAGAACCAATAATTTTTTATTTACTACCATCTAGCACCATGAAAAATTTGAGGGAAGTACATGTCAGGTGACATGAAGCTAACTCCTGCCTTTATTCCAGTGTTACTTCAAAGTCAAAGGGTTGGGACTGCCTGATGACCACAAAGGGAACATTGTTATTTGAGCAGACAAGCACCAGAGTAACAATGGAGTTGTAGCATATGTCACTTCATGTCACCTAACACCTACTGCCCTCAGATATTTCCTGGTGTAGTCATGTTTTAAATAGAATAAATACAAGCAGTGAAAAAGGGGTTGTGAGAATGGAATAAAAACCTGAGAGGAAGAAACATGAGTCTTTGGAGGAAACAAACCATACAGGGCTTCTCAGTATCTTTTAGTTGAGCCAGATGAGTTAATCAAGTTAAACCTGCTATAATCCACAGATATTTAGATTCATTAATTCTAATTCATCAGTCTTTAGTAGATCATACAGAAAGATCAGGAAAGAGAAGAAATCATTGTAGAGACATGAGTTCTTGAGAAGAGCTGACTACTTAGGGTTCATATTTGACTCAGAAGGGGCTTAATAACAACAGAAAACAAGCTACTTGATGAATATATTCTGGTCTGATTTTTTATGACCAGAAAGGGGTGAAGGGCAGAGAGAGACAGAAATGAGAAAAATTCAACACAAGTTGATTGGTTGTTGAAGTTGTGTTGCTTTGAGTATGATCTGTTGTGGATACTGCCATTCCTGTGAGACTCATTAGGGGGTATCAAATATAACCAAATCCACCATTATTTAATTGACTGGTTTGAAAAAATCCACCCTTTTTTAAACATGTTGGTTCTTCATTTAACCCCTTTTAGGGTCCATTGATGCAAAATTTTTTTTTGAGAAAATTCACTGGTTTCTAAAGGTGGATTTCCTATATTTGATACCCCCTATTGTTTGTTTTTTGTGGTTGTTGGAAGGAAGATGTTAAGGAAAGATTTAGGGCCTTAATGAAAAAACCCGGTTTTTCCACGTTTTGACGCGGTTTCTGCTGCGCGCAGCACACACAGATTCCGTGCCATGTCTTAAAATGTAGGAAAAAAAATTAAAATGTCAAAAAAGAATGAAAATTAACCTGTAGAAATTTAAGTGAAAAAATGTGTCTAATTTCAGTATTGAAAATAAACCATTGATTTTTATGGAATTTGAATTACGCCATTAAAAATTATGCACATTGAAACCTAGTAAATAAATTTAAAATTTCAAAAAAGCATAAAAAATAAGGTAAAAACATGTATGCATACAATTAATGGAAAAAATGAGTGGAAAAAGAAATTCATTTTTAAGGAAAATGGTTTTTACCATTCAATTCTACACCTTTTAAAGTGTAGGAAACAACTTTAAAAAATCAAAAAAACTCGAAATTAATGGCAAAAAAAATTTAATTAAAAAAGCGGGTTTAAACAAGGATTGCGTGTGTGCTGTGCCGCAGCAAAAGCGCGTCAACACGCGGAAAATGCGGGTTTTTTTATTAAGGCCCTAATTAAAACTCATTTTTATGAAAAATGGTTTTTAACATTGAATTCTACACACTTTAAAACATAGGAAACAACTTTAAAAATTCAAAAAAACTCGAAAAATAAGCGGTCAAAAATTAAATAAAAAACCGCATGCAAACGCGGAATCCACGTGTGCTGCGCGCAGCAGAATCCGCGTGTAAACGCGGATTTACCGCGTTTTTTTATTGACACCCATTTTTTTCACTTAAATTTCTACAGCTCAATTTTCATTATTTTTTGACATTTTAATTTTTTTTACTACACTTTGAGACATGTCAAAATTTATGGTAGAAACCATTTTAAATAAAAATTGAAGATTGTTATTGAATACTGCGTTGGACATGTTTTTTTAATGTTTTTTTGATTGATTTTTACCGGCTTAATTTTGATCATTTTTTGAAATTTTAAATTCATTTCCTACATTTATAAATGTGTAGAATTCAATGGTGAAGTTCAATTTCCCTCAAACTCAAAGCTTCAATTATAATACAAGAGCCTGCACCCTTTCTTGCATAATTTTTACCGTATGCAAACTGTATTTGAATGCAAAATGAATACATCCATCAATTTTGAATCCTTTCAAATTGTAGGAAATGAGCTTAAAATTTCTAAAAATAAGGATAATTAAGCGTGTAAGAATTAATTAAAAAACCATGTCAAAGGCATTATTCAAGATACAGTTTTTATTTTGATGCAAATTGATTGTTTCCATCATTTTTAAAATGTCTGAAAGTGTAGGAAACAAATTTAAAATGTCAAAAAATAATGAAAATTAAGCTCTTAAAAATCAATTGAAAAATATGACTAATTACAGGGGTGTTGATAAACGCACGCCAGCCCCCCTGGCGCACGCCAGGTGCGGATTGGCATGCACGCCTGCATGCCAAAGAAAATTGGCGTGCGGGCCCGCACGCCAATCTACAGAATGTAGACCGGCGTGCAGGCCTGCACGCCAAGGATTCGCCGCTGGGTCCTATGGACGGCCC